GTTGCCTGTGGAGCACATTAGATAACTTTACAGTCTCCTATAATACACATCCTGTCCGATGACAAAAGAGGCTACGGATTTAGTTTTTCTGCACGTTATCAGCAATGACTACTGGTCTTCAGCAACTTGGGTCTCCTATAATACAAACTGTCTACGCTTTCGTAATGCTAACATAATGCTCGGGATAGGACTCGCTACTGATCTTCAGAAACTTGGCATGACCATCACTCACAATAAGACTGTTGTAATGTTCATCATTCCCAAGCGGTCGCTGGTTTCTCCCACAATTTCATCGTACTGTTGTATGATATGCTATACGACACCCTTATACCGTACAAAACCGTATTGATGTCTGGCGCTATCGCCTTCATCTCTGGTGCGGGTGTAATCTAGTGACTTCCTACATGAGTTATACAGTCAATTTCGCTTATAACGACACTCGGCAGGGCATCAGAAAAGTGTCGTTATTCGCGAAGTGTCTTTATCCGAAGTCTCATTATATGTGTCACAGTTGGATGGGACTTTGCTCCGGGCATGAAAATTATGTCGTTATTTGCGAATTGTCGTTATATCCGCAGTCGTTATTAGCGAAGTTGACTGTAATAGACCAATCCCTTTGTCTGGGTTCGTGAAAAGGGCCACGCGTGCAAGTCAGCGCGTGTGATGTGCATGGTTTTATATCTAGTTGGTATGTAGCAGCTTAAGGGACAGAGAGACTTTTGCTCCCCGAGCTTGTGTATGTAAATAGTGTTTTACGTCGACCATGGCGGCTCGATTTGAATGGGAGAATGGCTGCTCCGATACGAACTCTAAAACCAGAAAAAAAATAATGGCTACGATTCCCAGCCATACCACAACGAACTGATCGGCTACATCATTGTATTGAAAAAAGTTTCAATCTGTTCAAATAACATGAATTATTTATTATTATTAAATGTAAAAAAGAGAAGAAACACATGGAAACAAGTTGTGCAGCAACTATCCACGACTGTAACAAGATGATAACTTGTCAGAAAGTGCGATAATAGGGCACACAACTGACAGGCTACTGAGACATTGAGCGACCCGATGCCTAGCTCTAACACATCCCCAGTGCGCAAACCAACAGCCTTCCAACTTGGAAGGTTCATGGTTACGTAGGACCGGAGAGGGGAAGGTGAGCGCAGCGAGCGAAAAATGTCGTGCATAGTTGCTGCATAACTCGTTCTCATGTGTTTCTTCTCTTTTTTTCTTCTCTTTTTTACATTTAATTACTGGCTCAGTATCTGAGTTAGAGAAATAACACTAAGAACAACAAGAACAACAGCAGTAAAATTTACAATTGTTAATTATATCAATGAAAGCGAGAGCAATAACGAATGCGTGTACTTACACTAAACTTGCAACTGAAAAATGAACAAAGAAGAGAAGGGGACAAAGTGATAACAAATAACAGCAGTACATTACACCTAGAAAATTAGCGGACAAGCTTGGCCGCACAAAACATGACACTTGACTTGAACAATTTCAACCCAATTATACTATCCTTCTGTACACACAAATTAGGCTTATACAGACGCTGACAGATGGCTTCCAAAACTTTTAACTGTAGTCCATAACCATGACGACCACGGCACAATACAGTGAAAGAAGAATCGGAATACGAATTGCAACAATCAGGACAAGCCAACTGATGATTGTACACTGAAGACTTGCTCCCACGAAACCTACGCACAACACTAACCTTCTCACCGGCACTCTCACGATCACTACAATCGTAGCTCTCTCTAATTTAGATTTTCTATAATAGTTCAATTTAGTTTTCATTGTCCTTTAGTACAACGAAGATTCCTGATGAGTGTTGTACGAAAACTTGTTTGAATCCTCATTTTCTCAACATCATTTCTTCACATTTTCATCAGTATCTGAGTTTATTATCATAAATGTATTATTTTAATTTCATGAGGAGCTAGGCAATAAAGCATAGCGTAGGACCCTGATCGAAAGAAATTAACTTTCTCTTTGCATTCGAGGGTAATACGACACTGTCTACCATCTTGATGACCTAGGCAAAAAAGCAAAGTTGGGCGTGCATGGTCTGTTGCTACAACCATTCGTTCTATCGCGAGCATGATCACCTAGCCAATAGTCTATTAGGGGCCGTCCGGGGTTACCGATTGTTTTTTCAAAACGAAAAGATTTCGTTTGGGGGTGGGTGGGTTTTGGGGGTTTTCGTTTTGAAAATAAATATTGAATGCACAAACCACGAGCCATGTACGAGTGTAATGTGTAGCACTCAGCTCACACAATATGTAGGTCTACATGATTGTATCTGTAGACGGACACAGCGCTTGGAAGCACTCAGTCCTGGTGCTTTCCGAGTACTGATACAAGATCATCCGGCCATCTTGTCACCACACGATCATCGACAGCACAGGCAAATAAATGTCGAACGGACGACAAGATAAAAGTAACCCAGTGGAAACGGAGCACCTCTCGACACCTACCGTGGCACGAGTCTATCCTTCCTGGCATGACTGTCGTCACCGTCAGGGTCCTCAATCTCGCGGAGGGCTTTCTTCCATCAAAAAGGTCAAGCCCAAAAGGAGAAAAATAATCACGGCTTCCCAGTAGATTTTTGGTCGAGTCGTGGAGATCATACGCGACTGCACCAAAAAGTACTGTGGATGTGAAGCTTGGCAGTCGACTGCATGCAATGCGCCGTTTCGGGCTACATCGTGTGCGTGCATGCACTACCAACCTAGCTGCATGCAACGGATTTGGGAGCTGGCCTTGCATGGTCGTAGATCTACACCTGGGCAAAGTAGGTGGCCGAGGTGTGATTTTGAGCACCACTCGTAGATCTACATGTAGATCTACTACTCGTACAACTTTTTTTGTAGTCACTGCATCCAGTGAGCGCTGCACTCTGCCTACGCAGCCGAAGCGCACTTGCCACCGATGTACCTACGAAGGCTGTGGCGACGCATTTTCCACGCTGTACCAGCTTCAGCAGCATAAGAAGTCAACCGGACACATCCTTGGACGAGGTCGTCCAAGGAAATCTTGAACACTGTGTATCATGTCGTGTATTTTGATAATGCCACGGACAGTGCAGATGTTTTTTGATTTCTCATACAGCTAGCTGTCTCTTGTACATACCTCTCTGAGCTGTATGCTTTACCTATCTTGACTGGGTTCAATTTCGTGATGATAGCCTTCATGAATCATATTGTATACATGGAATATACCAGGTTGTGATTATTGAAATCAATAATTTAATATATTTCGTTCTAGATGCAGAAAGGGTGGGTGGGTGGGTGGGGGCTGAAAAATACTAAATCTTTTCGTTTTGAAAAAACAATCGGTAACCCCGGACGGCCCCTTATATTAATAATTCATATCTTTTGCATCTTTCCCTCGAGTTGGTCTATTCTTATTAGGCAATTATCTGTTATAGTCACCACTATAAATAAAATCCAATCCAATCCAATCCAATCCATAGGGATGTTATACATGTTTCATTTCTCCTATTTTTTTTAAGACATAACCCAGGATTTGAACTCACACTATCGCCCTGCATGCATTCCCCCGATACACTTCGCATGCATACTCATTCTTCCAAGTTCTCGTTAAGATCTTGCATTTGAAAGCCCTATTTTAATATTGTGGCCACCTGTCTTTAATGGAACGGTACGGGATACCGGCAGGCATGCTGATGGCGCAAACAAGCAAACAAACACGGAATTAATGCTGTGTGGACCCTGGCTAGCACCAGACGTTACTGAAGTGACATCTTTTGCATAGCTACGGGAATAAGAGACAGTGTGGTATACACGGCAAGAGTCATGAGTGTGTATGCGTGCCTGAAAAACAGGGCATTTTCACAGTGCCCAGTTCATTTTCATCATTTTCGTGCACACATCTACTCTCATGTCCATATGGACGTGGCCATGTACGCCTCCTGCATGTCTATAAAATACTTGGAATCAAAAAAAAACTTTCTTGACCACAAGGCGTGTTTGAAATTGCTTCGCATTCCATGTAAGTCTGGTGGAGATTCGCAGCTGAGTCCCCGTGACTCTTTCTTCTGGTACGTTTCCTCAATTTTTGAATTTCAATGACATCCCATATGGAACGAACTGTTGCTGTGTTGATGTGAGGCCCCTCCGAGGATGAATGGAGCAAACCTTTGAGCGAAATGGGGAATTTGGTTTTTCATAGATGTGCGGCGGATGCAGTCACTGGTCTGCTTTTGCCGCTTATCGCGCAGCAGCCCACCAGGAATCCATGGGGCAACAACATCCTAGCGGCACTCGGATACACTCCGTGACAGATGTGTACTAGACTACAACAATCTCATGGGCAGCTTTGCACACAACTGTACGCCCAACATACAGTAGGGTGCTAGACTTCGTGCACGCATAACATAATCAATGGCAAGAATGTTTTGATACCAGCCCGAAAAACGTTCTAGCATTCCTATTTCCGTACTCGCGCGATTAGTGCTCCTGAGGCACTTTTCAATGTCCATCACAGATTGGGCAGTATTCAAGAGAGGGCACTGTTTTTTCATTGCTGGTACATTTGCGTCATCCAGCTTAAAACAAAGAAAAAAACAGAGGCTAAAGTGTACTGTAAACGCTCACGACTCCACAGAAACGGTAACAAGACCTGCGATTTTGTTCCTGAAAACACCAGTGCAAAGCAATGGCCAAGAACATTTATAGCAAAAGAACACCAAACTTGCACATGGGCTTGGTTACAAGGCCGGGTGGGGAGCACTATTCAAGAAAGGGCTTGATTTTTCCCTGACTCTTGGAGACTAGGGCACTTTTCGAGAGAGGGCTCTAATCGCGCGAGTACGGTAGTTGTGTCGTAAGTTTGAGGAGATTCGTTCCATTGGACATCAGGGATCGACTTCGTAAGCCTCCCATTGGCTCCCGCTGCTACTCAGATTCTGTCACGTTGCGCTCCGTCGAATGTAATCGAGGCATATATTCGCAGTAACAAGAACTCACCTGAACAACGATGGCAACTCGTCGGTTACAGACGCCGGTATACGAACAACTGCGAGAAGAGTAGAACTACTGAAATCAACTTGACTGAATAACTTTGGCCCGCACTTGAAACTGGTAAGCTTACACTCGCTTGCCAAACGTTTAGAAAACAGCACTCGTCTGACCAAAACAATGGCTTCACTTCCTTCCCAAACACCTTTCCACCTCCAAACGACCAAAGCATTACATTGTATTCTGTTTCTGCTGGCATCTTCTCACTAGAGAGGTTGCGCACAACGAAAATTTGTAAGATTTCGACCGTCCGGGTTCGAGTAACGAAAGTTGCTACAAAGATCCGTCCAAACGCGACCGAAACAGAGCAAATCTACGAAACTATTTTTCGTTGCATGGAGTACTAAAATACTGATATTTTACAACTCCCGGTGTTCAGTTGAAGCCCCACATCAGGGGTCAAAGGTGTGAACTTTGACCTGAAGACTGAATCTTGTCCGAATTGAGGAAGAACATTTTTATTTGGTTGGTTGGTTGGTTGGTTGGTTTTTATTTCACTTCGCACAGTTGCGCTTTCATGTTCACATTTTGGCTCGTTCCCACATACCTTTTCTTGTTCATCTCGACAGTTGTACTTTTGACTTCTTCTTGTAACGTTGCCATGTCTCAGACTCCTGACCCCTCTTTCCTGAAACCAACGTCTGTCGCCATGAGCCCAGTGGCATATGCCAGTCCTAGTCGTGGTGGCGTTTCACCCAGTATAAGTGTAAGAAGATCGTTCGATTTGTGTATGGACCTTGCCATACTGAGGCAACTGCGGTCGCATGAGTGCCCCTTTAGAAGAGGGAGCCCAGCTATGGACATAGTTGCTGCTGAATTATCCAACTCGGATCCAACCAAGTTTTGTGGTATCAACAAAAAGGGTGTGCGTGATCGAGTTTTGCTGCTGCTCGAGCTCTTCAACAAAGGCGATGAGTGGAAAAAAACGGCAGTAAGTTGTTTTGGGTGTTCATGTATCAAGATACAAGTACATGTACAATACATGTATGTATTTGTTGCACTGAGGTATACCCCTCCCCCCCCCCCACACACACACACCAATGCAAAAAAGTGATCTTAACGGTATTTTAAATACCTTTAGACATCAAGCAAAAGAATCCACAGAGCCGTGCAGAGAGGTCGTTTGCATATACAGGTACATATGGAACATGGTACAGAATGGTTAGGCAGGGGACTACATGTAGATGAATTTGCAGTGTTGCTTTGATGCTCATATGGAATAAGTTTATACGGCACATCGACGTCCCATCCAATCCATGGAAACTCATCCTCTCATGTTAGATGTACATGTACATGTATGGGGTGAAGGACAAGGCTGAAATTTAAACCGTATAAATTGACGTTTAAAAGTTATCTTTTGGTGACTCATTCATGTTTGTCTAAATATGCTTTCTTTCACCTTTCAGATCTGGCACTGAGGAGGAGCTAACGGAGAAAGGCCAGCTTCTGGCTGAGCTCCAGGAGCTTTATGCTGAAAAAGCCCAGCCCAAGCCTGCTGGTGATGGCGAGAAACAAGCTGCCCTCCAGGCGAGAAAGGATGCGTGCGTGACGCTGGCCAGTAAGAGTAAGGAAGCAGCAGATGAGCCCGCTGCAAAGCGGAAGAAACATGGAACGTCGAGCGTTGAACTCGCTATTGCTTACCTGAAGACCTCACAGGAGGCGGATGCAGCAGTAAAAAAAGCACAGCTAGAACTGGAACAGCAGCAGCATCAAGACAAGCTGCTATTAGATAAAGCCAAGATGGACCTTGAGGAAAGGAAATTCATCGCGGATGACATACAGAGGAAGAAGAAACAAGAGATGGACGAAAAGGATCAAGCAGCCAGGCTGAAAAGAGAGGACGAGAGGGAAGAAGATGCAGCTGCTGAGCGCCGGGCACTCATAGATTTAATGAAAACATTTGCTTCCAAGTTTTCATAATTCCCCGCCACAAATCCAGCTTGTGACCTCAGGCCACATCACCGAGCCACCAAGCTGAGAATTGAGGCGTCATCGAGTCTTTGCCCTCCCCACCACCCACTCCACCCGCCTTCAACGTTCACCCTTGTACTCCGCATGCTCTCAGTACAACCACCTGCCACGACACTTTTATTCCCTCCGAGAAATAGATGCATTCAAAAGAGAAGGTACCCTGATCATAGTATTGCAGTATCCCTGCTTAACAGTTTACACATGACTAGTACATGTATTTTGCATGACTCTTATAATTACTCTTGTTACTACTTTCGGACACGTCCTACATCATGTACCTCACACATGACTTGATTACATCAGGAGTACCGCGCTTCTAGAAAGATCCTAGATCTTCCATGCATGCTGCTGTCATCACTTCTAGTGTCACTTCCTTTTAGTTAGTACAGTCATGCACAGTCATGTACATGTATGTCATGTTGTTCCGGACTATTCCAGACCTTCCACGTCATATGCCCGATGAGTAACGTTGCTGACTAAATTGCATAATATAGATATCTCATCTTCTAGAATGCCTCGCTTAGTCATTATGTTAATGTTACGCAATGCTCACTTCATCTACCTGTATAGCAATGATGATCTAGGTTTGCCTTCTCCACTATTCTAGAACTTGTACTAGAAGGATGATTTCGTAATCACTGCAATTTGCAATGTCATATACTTTGCTCGCCTATAAAAGCTGCTGTCTTTTCTGCCACCATGAGATTAGCTCAGATTAGATTAGAGATTAGATTAGAGAAGAGATCGGAGAGATCCGATAGATATCAGAGAGAGAACAAGATAGAGTTCTGTTCACTTAGGAATATTTGATATAAGATAACCTCCAGGCCGTGCCGGAATAAGTTCTGATACGTTCGTTGACTGACTGTGGGTAGTTGCCTCCTTGCCTTAGACCGAGCACATTACAGGATCATCAATTTGCACATGCTCCAACCCCCGCTGTAGCCCAGCCTAGGAATATTATTTTAATCAAGCTCTATCGCCTACCTGTCTTCGCAGTGGATATACTTCCTTCTTCGTCTTTACTTAAAAATGAAGCACCCAAACCACGGCTGCCACTAGCCACTGTTTCTCCCGGTTTATTGCACTCACTCTGATTGATAACACCTAGTACTGTCTCTCTCTTAGGGCCGGGTTCCACTGCGGCTCCGCGGCTCCGCTGCTCCGCGGCACTTGGCTGCATGCAGCGGAGCAGCGCGGTTCCACTGTCACTCGCCATTCGCGGTACCGCGGTCGTGGTCCACACTTTTTGATGACGTTTCACCTGCCTGCGCGCGCGAAATCAAACAAATCCTCGTGTTCTGGCCTGCGCAACGAATTAAAATTTGAATTATAAAATTCTGGCGTATAAAACAATGCAAAGTACGGGAAACAGGTCGAGCCGCGACCGCGGCTCGCAGTTTTTGGTCAAGAATCGTAGCAAAAGCTCGCGGTGAGCCGCGGACTCGCTGCTCCAGCTCGAGCCGCGGTCACTATGGTAATGATGACGTTTCAAGCCACGAAAGACGAGCAGCGGGGCAGCGGAGCCGCAGTGGAACCCGGCCCTTATTGGCTACGGGCATCGTGAGAATAAAGATAATAATAAATAAGAAATAATTCGCCGTCACACGCTACAGTGTACTTTAGTAATAGTATTATCTTTATTAGGATGACCCAGAGGCTTATCGCCTATCAAGGGGTTCACCGCTTTGAAGGGTGTACATGTACATGTATGAGCTAAAGTGAAAGTAGTGGAAAGTAAAAGTTGTTCAGCGTGAATGCGTAGGGGAGCACACAGGGGGGGGGGGGGGGGGGGGGGGGGAGGTATGTACATGGCGTGGGCATACCGGAGAGCGAAGCACTATGTTTGAAGTTACATGCTTCGTTTAAAAAAATTATATTATTATATACACAAGAGAGAATTTGGAAGCTTTGTTACAACTCTGAGTTTCACGTATTACTACGATCATCAGGCAACTGATGGATCCAAAACAAGCAGCCAGAACATAAGGGGGAGCAAGGTGGGAAATCCTGAGGGGTGTCATAGGCGACGCGTATCATAGCGCAAGAGTCAGGTGCAGGCGTGAAGTTGCCAAGTCTTCAGATTTGGGGCTATGCAGCAGTAGTTCCGGCGTGAATGATATAGAATAGAGCAGGGGAAAAATGCCAAATCCACACATGCCCACACCACTACACAAACATACACCCACACCCTCTCCCTTTTCTCACATACACATACACTCACACGCGCGTCGTCACACACATTCTCTAAATCTCTCTCTCTCTCTCTCTCTCTCTCACACACACACACACGCACACACACACACGCACACACACATTCATTCTCTATATCTCACTCACACACACACACACACACACACACACACACACACACACACACACACACACACACACACACACACACACATTCTCCAAATCTCACACACACATTCTCTAAATCTTACCTATACACACACACATTCTCCAAATCTCACACAAACATTCTCTCTCTCTCTCTCTCTCTCTCTCTCTCACACACACACACACACACATATATACACACACACACACACACACGGCCACAATACTCATCCTTTCATTCTCACACCTACCGCACACATATTTGCACCCGCACTTATCCAATCACCCACACGCACTCTCTTTCTCACGCATGCACACAAACACACACACACACACACACACACACACTCAAACATGCACGTGCACACACACACACACACACACACACACACACACACACACACACACACACACACACACACACACACACACACACTAGGCAGCGGGACTACCAGCTAGATTCACTTGACCTTGCGGGCAAAGTTACAGAGGTAGAACTTGTTTTAATGACGACACTTGGACACAAGCTCTGACCTCTTGTTGAGGGAGCGGGTCTTGTCGGCCCAGGCTATCTCTAGCTTCTCGGCCAGACACAGGTTGCAGCGCTTCGAGATGTTAGAGTATGGTGCGGCTCTCCTCACAACGGACCACCTGATACTGTAAGGTTTGTTTTATACATGAAACTCCGAAATAAATTGTGAGAGTTCTGTTCACCGTAGATACTGCACGAGTTCAGGTGGTTGCAGTTCAAAGTACGCTGACGTCTTGTTCCCTCGGCGAATGATAGTTCTGCAATTGCAAAGCAAAGCAGCAACTTTGTAGTAAACAGCGATGGGCTGAAGTCCAAGCTTCAGCTGCTTGTAATTGTTGATCAGCGCCCAGTAGGTGCTCACTTCACCAAATGCCCACTCCACCGTTTGACGCGCGGAATTCATGGCCGTGTTGAACTCACGTTGTTGTGGAGTTACATTCCCACCAAGATACCCCTTCTGGATGAATTGGCTGAAAGGATACGCTGGATCACCGTACAGTGCATAGCACCGGCCATCGGGAAGGCGCACGTTGTTCTGAAGCTCGACCAGGAGATGGCTTTCCGCTAAGACTCCTGCATCGTGACGGCGGCCTTCTACAGGGCCAAATAGATGGGTGATTAGTCCATCCGGTGTGGTCACTGCTTGAAATTTTAATGCATGGACGCGCTTGTGCCCGTTGTAAAAGATGCGCTGATTATGCCCGGGACGGCTCATGGGGCGGACTGTACCGTCAATGAATCCCCAGATGAGCATATCTACACCAGTTTTCCGTTGGATAGCGTCGCTGTAGGACCGCAATGTAGCTGGGGTGAGGCATCCTTGGTCAAAAGTGTTTTCGATCACGTGACTCCACCGGTTCCATATCCATGGCAGTGTCGTATTAAATATCCGACTTATATCTTCTTCGTACCGCCCAAACTCCTCAGCCAGATCTACCAATCGGCAAGGAAATGCCAATCGCCTCAACACAACCAGTAGACCATCCATCCCTGTCCACGTGATCCTATTGACGCCTTTCATAGTCTGAGGCATACGCAAAGCATCGCACAATTCGTGTAACTCCGCCTTGACAAATCGAAATCGGAGCATGCAAGCGTCATCTGGCAGAGATCGTATGCAAAGACGTGGAGGGAGTCTCCTCCTTTCGATGTTCAACTGGCAATCATCCTCCAACGCAAGGATAAGCAAAAGCAGCTTATCCTTACCCAGTAGACCTTTGTCGTAGGCAAAGAGCAAAACTGCCAACGTCTGATCAAACTCTTCAGCCATGCCCAACTCGTGCAGATAACGCTGTTTGCAAAGCTCATACACTAAAAAGCAGGGAGTAGTCGATTGCGATATGTTGTAGTCGAAGTAAGTTTGACTACAACAAAAAAATACGTCCTCCCCTTCGACTCGTAAGTTCGTCGGAGTGTTTGGAGATGAAGCTTTCAAGCGCTTCAACTCCTTCATATCATGAGAACACGGGGTCATGGGGTCATGTACTCTTGGTACGCGAGCAAACCAGACACGAAAAAGTTCACACGTAACGTTGTGCGCAACCTCACAGTTTACGAATATTCGTTAACTACTTTCGGTAAAAAATTTCGTTACGACGCTACGAATTTTCGTTGTGCGCAACCTCTCTAATATCCAACCGTTTATAACGGCAGTCTTGCGCGAAGGCCACCGACTCCTTTCACCGACACTGCCGAAGCTGCGTTTTCAAAATTTGAAAAATCCATGGAAACGGCTATGATGTGACCTTGGCTTGACCCTCGGCCTCGGCCTCACAGGCTCCGATATGCGCATGATTAGGCAATCTCCAAATTTCTGACCCGACACGTGATCATCACTCAGGTACTGGCAAATAGCCATCTCTCTTTTCGCGGACACAAGCAGCTCATTGTGCTCGAATGACGACATTTTCGGTAAGCAGCGGAGGTTGACCTTCCGACCTTCGAACCTCAACTTCTGTTAAAGCCTTAAAGGGGAACTGTCATCACCACAACTATTTCCCTTATACTTATAGCAAGAGTAGATAAACAAGAGTGTGCAACTCCGGATCTCTTCTGCACAATCTGCAGATACCCCCGCCCGCGGCGGAATTTTTTGTTGACGTCACATTTTTTCAGAAGAACGCGCATTTTGCCCCAGAGCAGTGTGAGAGCACGTGCTGGGCACCGACTTTGTAATGTAAAGCCCGGCCAAGTGCACGAGGCAAAACTTTCCAAAAGACTCGCAGCGCGTGCATCGTCGAAAAGATTACGTCAACAAAAAATTCCGCCGCGGGCCAACCCATCCCGGAGTTGCACACTCTTGTTTATCTACTCTTGCTTATAGGTAGGTAGGTGTATTTTTACTTGAATTCGCCGAACCAAACGTGCGGTATCGCCCAGATACGTGGACGAGAATGGAAACAATAAACTAGTGTAGAAAATAGCCTAATACTACTTTTATGATAGAGCAAAGCAAACAACGCCCAGTCAATGAATAAAGTTACATGTATAAAAAAAAACAGGGGAGGCGTCAGATAGCACACGACGTACGAGTGGTACTGTGGAGTACCGCAAACGTTCAAGGGTACACGTAGAGTTCAGTAGTCGGTGCTATCAAGACAAAAGGGGAGGCAGGCATGCTTGAACTCGTGGTGCTGGGTAATCAGTGGTAATACCACACACGTCGGATGGCAGGTTGTTCTATAAAAATGGACCCGCGAGCGGTTGGGCGGTCATGGCCGGCTTTGGATAGGGTAATACCACGGGAGGTCAGTGAACGCAAGGCGCAGGCCTACACTCTGCGCATGCATTGCGTCATCGATTTTTTGAATGTGATCGCGGTGGCGCCGACAGAGAAAACATGGCCGCGGTCTGTTTGCACCGCTGGGAGTCGTAAAATTACTGTTCTTCTGTCCCGGATCCCCGCGACCATTCAAATCATACGCGACACGGAGGACTCACGTACTCACCACGTTCTCAAGGCGAGGACGCATAGTGCTCCTGACTACAACCATAACCCGGTTGGCAGAGTCCCGGTCTTGCGACCATTTGAACCGTATTTGGAAACCCAGGTTCGGACCCTCGTTACTCCAGGGGTTGTTAGGATTTAGAAAATTTCTTTTTTTGTGTTGTAGAAGTCGTCGTGTTCAGTCCATGCGCCAAGACCGAAAAAGTCGTCTAAAAGTTCAACGGTACTTTTTTATGCAGATTAGCCACT